ACAGGCACCCGCCACAATGCCCGGCTATTTTTTGGTTGCAGCCATCATTGTTGTTTGGCGGGTCTGGGCTGGGGATTCGAACCCGCCACCTTAGGTGTACGTGGCTGGCGCCTTAGCCGGTTGAGCTATAGGCGCCGGGCCTATGATTTTGTTAATATAATAAGTAATCGAAGTATAGGAAAAATGGAATCATTAATCATTACATGCTATGTACATTGTTACTTTATAATCTCACACATACAGAAGTGTATGTCTATGTGGAGGTCCATGGAACCGTCACTGGGCTTATCTATCAGCGCCCCTCCCTTGCGGAACATCACTCCTTCCCAAATGCTTACCCTCCTAACTCTGACCTTTACCCTACCCTACCTTACAGTCTCTCCCACTCCCAGAAGCACTCAAGTTAAAGGAAGGAAGAATTTTGTGGATCCTCATAATGTGGTGGCCAAAGTCCCAGGGTAGGTGTCAGATTACAGTCCCTGCCCTGGTTGTATCACTGCTCACTGCATGACCTTGGACAAGCCACTTCTCACCTCTGCTGTTAGCCTCCTTTGTAGAATGAAGTCTGGATGGATGGGTTTCTCTTTAGGAACCCTGTTCTAATATTCCTCTGCTCTGCCCTGCAGGTGGGAGGAGGGCCACGGTTGGGAGAAGCCGAAATCTACAAGTCAGTGTTTCTCCAACCACTCCCCAAAACAGCATCCCAAGCTGTTTCTGGGAAATGTGCAGGGCCTCAAAGCCCTCAAAGCCCCACTTCCCACCTCCAGAGCCCACCAGGGCCAGGTGAGATCCCAGCCAAACACAAGATGCCGCAGCCGTGGCACCCTGTTCCAATTCCAAGCTTTTCTTACAGATGTTCTCTTCCCCGTAGGATAAGGACAAACAATGCCTCCAAAGGAATCAAAAACGTGCTTTGGGGACCAGGCCAGGGCAGGGAGTTAAAGGTTATTTATTAATATAACATTTTAGTTAAGGAATAATATAAAAACAGGAAAATGTGCATACATGTTATGTCTTGATATAAATATTCATGAAATGAACACATCCATGAAACAAATACCAGATCACAAAACAGAATGATACCTATACGCAGAAATCCTGTTTGTGTCCCCTTCCAGTCACTAGTCCCCCAAGGATAACAACCTTTGAGACTCCCAGCACCGTGGATTCATTTTGCCAGTTCTGATTATCACACAGGTGGAATTACACAGTATGGACTCTTTTGAATCTGACTTCCTTTGCTCAACATTATGTCTATGAGCTACACCCACTGTTATACGGAACAGACTGTCATTCACTTTCATTTTGCACAGTAAGGACTTAAAAAATAGCCCAAATCATGAGACAGCCTGAATCTACCCCACGCTGCCCACCAAGAGCAAAGGAAGGCGGTTTACACACAGCCCCCCCCCAGAAATCATAAGGGGGCCCCTGATGTTCTTCCTACAGTCTTATACTTTCCTCCTAGGGGGCTCTGGAGGAGGGAAGTGGGGCTTTGACACCCCAAACTTACTTGAAATCCTTAATCCATCATCGGGGGAAAGCCAGAAGCTCTTGTTCATTGAACACTGACCCTGCGCCCAGCTCTGTGAGGAACACCTTTAACTCAGCACCTCATTTCATCCTCACAGCCATGAGGTGGGTCCTACTATTACTCCTAACTTACAGGTAAGAAACTGAGGGGCTCAGAGAATTGAATAAGTTGTCTTAAGATTGCATAACTAGGAAGAGGATTCAGACCTTATCTCCAAAGGCCAAACCTCTCCACTACTCCGTGTTGGCAGGGAATTTGCCAACTGGATCTGACTGCCATCTGCATCCTCCGTCTCATCCAGCACTGCTTGCCACACTGGCCTCCTGCCCACTCCTCAGGCCCCAGGCTCTCTCTTCCCTACTTGGGGCCTGTCCAACTGCTATTGCCTTTGCCTACACCTTGGCCCCTCAGTCCCTTCCTCAGAGCAGTTGTCTCTGATCACCACCTGAACTACATCTCCCCTTATTCTCTGGTAGAGCATCCTTCTTTCTCCTTCCATAGCCAGTAATGCACCTTATGATGACTTATCCTTTTGTGTTCACCTGTTCAGTGCCTTTCCCCACTGATAGAACATGAACTGTAAGAGGACAGGAATGCATCTGTTTTGCTTACCACTGCCTTGGACAGGGCCTGGCACAGAATAAGTCCTCAATAATACATTAAGTGAAGAAAAGGCAAGAAGGAGAGAAGGACAGGGCTGTCCCTGCAGAAGCTGAGTGGTCACCTAGCTCCAGCTGTTCTAGGAATGGCCCCAGGAAAGACCAGTCCCTTCTCTGAGCCTCATATTCCTTGATGGTTAAACGAGAGGCCTAGAAGAAAGGACTTGTAAACCCTTCAAGCTCACTGCATCTCTAGACCACAAATCCTGGCCATTCCACAGGCCTGAGGCCTCTGCAGCCTCTTACCCACATTTTGACCAATAAGCACTTTGGTCAAAGTGCTTATTAAGAATGAATGGGGAGGCTCGGCGCCCATAGCTCAACCAGCTAAGGCGCCAGCCACGTACACCTAAGGTGGCGGGTTCGAATCCCCAGCCCGGACCCGCCAAACAACAATGACGGCTGCAACCAAAAAATAGCCGGGCGTTGTGGCGGGCGCCTGTGGTCCCAGCTACTTGGGAGGCGGAGGCAGGAGACTCGCTTGAGCCCAGGAGTTGGAGGTTGCTGTGAGCTGTAATGCCACGGCACTCTACCCAGGGGGACAGCTTGAGGCTCTGTCTCAAAAAAAAAAAAAAAAGAATGAATGGGGAAGCAAGAGTCATCCAAGGCACCCCAGGCTGTGAGGTATATGGGGCCTGCTCACTCTGTTGCAGGTAGAGAACCAGAAAACAGGAAATCTCTTCCAGTTCTATTAGTTCATGTCCTTAATGGATGAGTGGGGGAGAGACAAGACTGAGAAGGAATAATAAACAAATTGCTCACGTAACTACTTCTACTTCCTTCTTGAGCCTCCTGCCCCAGACCTGTCAGTTTCTCTGCCCACCCAGACTCCAGATTCATCCATCTCTGCCTGTTACCATGCATGTGGCTGCCCCACTGCCAGGCTGGAGCTCCTGCAACCAAGGCAGGGATTGTGTCTTGCTTATCTTTGTGCCTACGGCACTCAGGGCAGACCCCTACCCAAAGGATGTGGTCAAGCTGAGGCCACCAAATCAAATGACACTGGCAGTGCTGGTCACAGTCTGTTGCTGGTGTCACTAAGGGCAGGAGAAGAACATGCAGCAGAGAGATCCCAGTTTCCCTTTCAGAGTCTACCTCTCCAGCGACCAACTTTCAGCCTCTGGCTCTCTGTCCTCCTCCCCTATTTACCAGGCCTGGGACTGGGAAGAGTCATACCATCTGGGGTCTCTGCAGTCACTAACTCCCCCCTCAATCAGCCAGCCAGCGAGCCAGGACAAGTTAAAGTATCTGCCACCTCCCATTCTTCTTAGATTAAGGTTCCTCTGCTTTTGAAATTCTTTCTGTTTTGTCTTTTTTTTTTCCTGAGACAGAGTCTCAAGATGTCACCCTGGGTAGAGTGTGGCATCACAGCTCACAGCTATCCCCAATTCATGGGCCCAAGCAATCCTCCTGCCTCAGTTTTTCTATGTTTAGTAGAGATGGGGGTCTCACTTTTGCTCAGGCTGGTCTTGAACTCATGAGCTCAAGCTACCCACCTGCCTCAGCCTCCCAGAGTGCTAGGATTACAGGCGTGAGCCACAGAGCCTGGCCTCTGTTTTATCTTTAAAAATAAAAGAAGATAAGATAATTAGTACCGATTCAAAAGTTCTATATAAAGAAAAGGACTCCTGTTTTACCTGTTGGATACAGGGGATACTCTAAACTCCCATGTTTTTGCCCAAGGGTGTGCAAAGGGGTAAGTGTGCCAGGGCCACCTCATAGGAGTGAGCATGACACCTATGCTGGTACAAACGGGCTGGTCAGAACCTCGAATATACAACTTTGGGCAACTTGCTTAGAATATGCACCAGAGGCTCGGCGCCTGTGGCTCAAATGGCTAAGGCACCAGCCACATATACCTAAGGTGGTGGGTTCGAATTCAGCCCAGGCCCGCCAAACAACAATGATGG